TTATCRTATTTATGTTTAATCAAACATTTTATTAATTAAACAAAATGATGGAAACCAAATGTTAAAAACATCTCCAACAATTTCTTTCAAATGGAGAATTCGCACAATTTTTCGTAATGAATTTTCCAAAACATTTCTCTAAACTGGAGAAAGTCAGAGAAAAACAGTGTGTGTATGTGTGTGAAAATCTCCAAATTTAAAGAATAGAACAATTTACTGAAAATACGTGTTTCTAATTTCCTACCATTTTCATTCCTTAGAATGAATCAAATGATCCCTTAATTTCATATGAACAAACCAGACCATTATACATTTACGATACGTGATTATATTACAATCTTTCTTATTCACCCACACACTACAATATCATCTTCACATCCACTTGCATTAAATAAAGTTCCAAATACAGATACTCGTATGAAACAATGAGATTTTGAAGGAATTCGTTTAGAAATGCAACGAAAATACGTCATGCACAATAAGTTGCTATGTTCTATTCACGTTCTGTGACATTAGTGTGTTAACTGATCATAAACATTCTGGTTTTATATTTGAGTCTCAACCATACTTGAACCAAACACTATCATCAATCATTTCCATCCTCATTCTCTGCCCATCAATTACCCCTTTTTTACAAGAACCTCGACCATGGGACAAAGGTTTTTGTCTAGTAACAAGTTCTTATTAGAACTCAGGTGCTTGAACAAAATTCCGGTTCTTGTAAACATTTGTTTGTTACTTTTTGTTTATTATTTTTTGACCATTTTATTTTATTTTAATAAATCTATAAAACATAAAAGTTAATTTTATTTTATTTTTCATTTCTATAAATTTTTATAAAGGGGCTATGCTTAGTGTTTCTGTATTAATAAGTTTTAATTTTAAAATTATATCATTATATGATTATGTGTAGATTATTAGATATATATAATTAATTTATAAATCATAAATTAATAACTATAAAATATCTTACTATTTTTAAAAAATATACCAAATTGTTAACATATTTGGTCGAATCGAGATTACGAGTATTTATTATTTAGTGTTACTTTTATAAAGATTAATATAACTTTTCACTTTTTTTAGTTGTAGTATAAAATCATATTTATGTTTTAATTCTTTTCAAAATATGTTAACAAACTATATAAATTAACAAATTAATTTAACATAAAAAGGTGAAAATCAATAAATTATATTTGAATTTTTTTATAACCTTATAATATATATTAAATTTCTATAGTAATCTATTAATAAAATTACATTTTAAAAAAGAGAAGAAAGTGAGGTTTTTGTAAGAACCTCTATTGTACGGTTTTATTAAGATTCTTATCTTGATGTGTCAATAACGTGACAAGAACAATATGACAAGTAAAGTTATTAAAGGTCTCTATTGTTCTTCTGTCTTTCACATTCAGTCTCTCTTGAAATTTTTCGTTTCAGTCATTTTTGTTCAGGAGTTTTCAGATTTTTACTACCGCTTGTAAGACGGACGAATCCCACAAAGAGGATGTTATTAGCTTCAGACGAACTTCTTCAAATGCGAAACTCATCTGATCAGTACTAGTGTATCTCGTACCACAAAAGGTTCAGATGATGTATTGCTACCAACTGAAGTAAACAAAAGCACCCCCGGTTACGTTATGAATTATTAGAACCAAAATTAACCCAACAAAAATTTTGTATCCCATGTTGGAAGGAGATAGAAAATATTGCAGGTTTATAACGTTATTTCAACATTATTTAACTTACTCCTTATACTACAAGACGCTTACTTAGCCAACGCTTAGATCTGACTCAACTGCAACTAATTTTTGTGGTTCACTCCAACATTTTCTACTTGTCTACTAATTATTACAATTTTTAGATATCAATCGGACCGATAAGTTAACAAATTGAGTCAAAGGCTCAACACTCAAGTGATTGAATCATGGATTGGGCCATTGAAGGTGGGTTAATTTGGGACATTAGACTCTCCTCCTTGAACCAAAAATTAGTTCTTAATTATTTACTTATTTTCATTTTATCATAAATTTAAATTATATATTTAATTAATATTCATTTGTAAAATACCCACCAAATTTATTCATGTTTTTTTGACGTTCGATTACTACCACACTAGTAGGGTTGAAATTTTGTTTGAGAGCATTGCTTCACAGGCAGATCTCTTTTTGTTGGAAAAAACAGTTCCATAATATATTGGTTTACGTTTGATTCTTATATATTTTAATTTTTGTTTAAGTTGGGTTGAATAATAAATAATACTGGGTTGAATACCACATCACTCAGCTCGTCACATCAGCATGGTAACCGATTAATGCTTCAAACCGTTACTCAGGTAGTTAAATGTTTAAAACTTTACATCTTCGATACCAAAATAGAAGTTTTCAAAGTACGTTACCCAAAATAAGAATCAAGTTAAAGTATATTAATTTTTCATGCAATTTGCCCTACAAAATTATATAAGATAATAATAACTCAATCTTGTTGGTAGGAATGAATTAAAAAATCATTTATCTCTCATCACGTCAAGTTTTAACTCTCTAAACTTGAAGTTTTGTTTTATTTTTTCTATTTTAAGTAATAATATAGAGAATTCGTTGGAAAAAAAAAGCACAAAATCTCTATTTTTTTTATTTTAAATAATATGTTGAAGGTGTTGTAAATGTCTCAATCTTGGTCTAACTTCTTCAGAAGAAGTTTCAAAAGATATTGATCACGTAAAATGCACACCTCCACTTGATATCTTTCCTGTTTTTGCATCATATCCTTTTATTCAGGTCGTATACAATTAAACAGTCAAAACTCATAATCTTATGAACAATCTAAATCCAATGTTGGTATGATCCACATATAGATTTTTACAGAACTATTTGACCATTTTTTTTAAGTATATAATATTTATATATGACAAATGCAACAAAAAAAACTCACATACACTCTTCATCTTTGGTGAAGTTTGAACTTCTGACCTCTTAGGAGGACAAAGACTATGATACCATTTTTGATCTCCTGCCTCATTATTCTCTCAAAAAAATCAGAGCATTTCAAAATTCTCTCAAAGGTTTTACAGAACCAATACACCCATCCAAATAAAATTAAATCATTGATATTTATCTTTGATAACTAATTTTACATTAAAACATATTTGTTTAACTATGAATGATCGGCTAATCTTTCATAAAAACAAAGGATGTAATAAGCAAATATTGTTTAACCTACTTCTACCATAACGTACTCAATAGTGGATCGAAGTGCCTTTACATGGCGATTGAGAATCATGATTCAATGGTCAGGTCCACTTATTGATTTGAATTATCCGAAGAATGTCTTATATAGATATCCAATATATCAAGAAGATGGAAAAAAAATGCAAAATAAAAATGTCGTCTTATTCAAAACCCCAATTATGACTTTCTGGATTATCGTTCAAGCGCTCAATAGTCCGCAGTCAAGTGTTGGAGTAACGGTATAAAGCATATGTGTGTGTATGATATACAAATTTACTCATCACATGCCACGACTTGAAATTGTACCCTCATTGGACCTCCTAAGGATTTAAGGCTTAACGTCAATGTCATATACCATACATCATGCATCATGCAATTTAGAACTTTGCTATACTCAGACAAGACATGAAAATACAATAAATTTCAGGGAAACAATAAATATTATCATGACTCAATGACCACTGCCACATTAAATGCCACAATATCTTTTTATTGATATATTTGAGATTTTTTTTTTTTGTGTAAAATGGTTTTTTAACTGATAAGCTTTTAGCTAGTCAATATTTTTCTTGTTCAAAAGAATCATCTGAGTGAAAATCAAATACGCATTGGTTCATTGGCTCGTTATATGGTTGGTTTAAGTACAATTCCCATAAAACGTCTAACCCCAAAGGAAGTTTAACTCCCATATATGCGTGTTCATACTCGAACTATCATCAGTTTTTCAAGTATACCACATCGGAACCAATTATGCTTCCCGAGGGACTTATATTTCGTAAATCAATACATTTAAGATTGTTGTGATAAAACTTGAGCTTTATGTATTATATGCTTCAGTTGATAAGAAATTATAATAGTTATTTAAAATGCTCGAAAACTGTTCAATTCATATGGAACACAAAACACTTGCATATATTTACATATAGATCATCCCGGGTTTTATATATATAGGAGCCTAATCAAATTAGAACTGTTTTTTAGTGGTAACCTGTGAGATCCAATCTCAACCACAAATCAAAGGTTAAATTAGGAAATTTAATAATTTTGGTAATTTTAACTTAAAATATTAATTAATGGTATATTATGGAATTCTTAAATATCCTCTCTCATCTCTCCTATTTCCTCTCTTCGGCGAATCTTATTAGATGAACCTTATGTGAACACAAGATACACAATGTGATGCCCCAGATATACATACAAGATGCACAATGTGATACCCTTTGTAAAACAATGAAAATAACGAAAATGCACACTATGATACATTTCATAAAACAAAGAACATACATTGTGATACACGTGAAACGTCGTGAACGTTATCACCATGATACACTTTGATTCACAAACGTCTTTAAAATACGATGTATATTAGGTAATTGATATAGTAGGTAACTAATTTTAATTAAATATTTTCTTCTAAAAAAATTAATTGGATTTCACTGTTAGCACAAACTAATCAGTTCTTCCTTGAATAGACCTATATATATATATATATATATATGTGTGTGTGTGTGTGTGTGTGTATGTATGTAATGTACGTATGTATGTATAAAGCATATAAGAAAAAATGAGACAAATATCTTGAAACAGATATTAAATACAACTTATGAAATATTCATAATGATGTTCATAAATCATAATACCTTACAGACATATACATTATTATACGACTTGCCATTATTATCCTTTTTGTTGTTTTGATGAGATGTTTATTTGATATAAACTAATATATGAATCTATATATGGATGCTAATCGGATGTGAAAGCTACGCGTCATCACTTCAAATTCGTTTCTAGCGTAGACGCAAAGGATTTCCTAAGCTTGTGAGCTTCGGTTGGCAACTTAACATTGGTGGCTAACCCTACTGCTTCAAGAACCCGTATAAACCACCAACAAAGGTCAAGCTGCCACCATTCTAACCCAAATCGAGCTGAATACTCAAATGCATGATGATTGTTATGCCACCCTTCTCCAAAAGTAACTATGGCCACCCACCTGCATTTGCATCATGTTTACTTTGTACCATATAATATATATATACACACACACACACACACACATATAGATGTTTATAGTCAGGTTCAAACGAGACCAATACATATTTAAGAAAATAAGAAAACAGTCAAATCACATGTGATTTTACACTAACATCATGTGTAAAATCACATGTGATTCAAGCGATTTTTCCTGACAACTTAAATATGCGGCCAGAGTCGTCCGCACACCTTTTTTGGCCATTAATGTAAAATCACATGTCTTTTGCACGTAATTTGATTGTTTTCGTATTTTCTTAAATAGTTATCATTCTCGTTTGATTCTCCCCCCCTCTCTCTCTCTCTCTCTCTCTCTCTCTCTCTATATATATATATATATATATATATGTATGTGTGTGTGTGTGTGTGTGTATCAAAAAAGTTATAAATATTGTGAAAAAAAGATAACTTAAATATATGCAACGCTTTTGAAGAGATACCAGTTGTTCTTAGAGAGATCATCGGTGTTCCAAGCTTGGTATCCCCATATATGGCACGCTGAGTTCACTAGAAACGTCCAGTGGTAACTCCATGTGAGTCTCACACCCTGCAAATTATCAAATGGATGAATTTTATCGTACTTCTAAAAAAGTTATTCGAAAAAAAAAAGAAATTCAACTTGATGAACGTATAGAATGCTTGATGAAAGTATTACCATAACCCAAACAAGGTAGGGAAATCCACCAACTGCATAGACAATGGCTGCAAATCCGAGTACATGCCATAAATAAGTTCTCTTGATGAACCTATAGAATGCTTGACTCTTTAAATCTTCGACATTTTTACGTTCTTTATACTGCAAATCATGCACATTCAACAGATCAACTTTACTGGAAATCAGCCAAAAAAATTAATGAACTTTGATTATAACGTTAGACATAAAGAAATAGGCACCTTCTGGACAATGTAGCCACTATCGAAGAGCCAACCCATATGACTAAACCAAAAACCATAGGTCGGGGAGTGTGGATCTTTATCTGATTCAACGTATTGATGGTGTGATCTATGTATGCTCACCCAAAATATTGGGTCCCTCTATAAATAAATAAACCATTATCAGTCAGAATTTTGGTTGTTAACTAAATGCAAAAAGAACATGACTAAACCTATATATTTAATGGTTTTATCGCATGTTAAAGAAATGTTCAAACGTAAGATCTCCAAATTGTCGTTGGAATATTTGTTAAACGTGTATATGTTTGATGGTTTGTGAGTTCATAATTCATTCCGTTAAGGACTTGTCACATATGTCAAGTTTAAATATACATTTTTAAGCCATGCATATATATGAAAAAGAAAGCACATAAAAAAACCTGAGCAGCTTGAACCCCAAAATAAGCAAATGTATATTCAAGCCATTTAGGCAACTTAAAACTTCGGTGTGCTAGATTTCGATGATAGGAGAGAGTCAGACCAAGCAACCCGCATAAAACATAGCACCAAAATCCTGCCCAAAATGCGCCCCAAGTAAACGCAAATGGTGCAAATAACGTCAATATATGAGCAGCTGTGATCCAAAGAACTGTTATGACGTCCAAAGTATTCCACTTACGGCCACGAAATAGGTTCCTCTTCCTCGTCACAACCACGTCGGACATCAATATTTTCTTGTGCCCAGTTTCCTTTCCACCATCGAAAAGAAACGCTTCCAAGCTCCTCATTTTTGGGAGTTGATTTAAAGAATGCATTGAAATGTATACATACCTATACATATATATACACACACACATAAATATGTATGATACATGTACGTTTGTATGTTGTGCATCATTCATTACGTTTGAAAGGAGTCGTTGAAAATTGAAAACACATGTAATTTGGTTGATACGTGTCATGTCATACACATGGGAGAAATAAAACACAATGACCCTTCTTGTAGTCTTATTCTTATATATTATTTTTAAAGTAAGGTTCGGTTTTTGTCTCTAAAGTTTGTCTATTTTAATGGTTCTCGTCCCTAACTTTGTTTAGTCGGTTTTCTTTTCGTTTAGTCCACTTTCATTTCTCTTAATACGATATTATATATTTTATAAGAATTAAAAAAATATATAAAACTTCACCTACCAACCCCTCCCCCCTCCTCTAAAAAATATATCATCCAAATATCGAACCTAACACAAAGACCAACCCTCCTCGCGGCGGCCGCTCATTGTTGTACCTCATTGTCGTTGGGTACCAGATGAAGTCATCATCGAGTACCCTTCTTCCTCCATTTTAGTGGCCTCCCTCTATTCGCATTCGTTCTAGCTCCGATCAATCCTGGGACGATTTAGGGAACAATTCCCTTCTCTGACGGACTTCACTCCCATACGAATACCAAATATGCACCAAATCAGGTATAATACCTCTTAGATCGAAGCCATACCCAACCACTTTTTAGATTTTTGTTTGACGTCGGCTTTATGTTTGATTTAGTTTTAGATTTTTATTGTTTTGATTTTATGGTTTGCATTAAAAAAAAGAATTTAATTGAATTCATATTGTTTATGTTCATATATTGTCGAAATTTTCATGTTTGAATTTGTTTCTTTATTTTACGTTTTGAATGACCTTATTCAAGTTTGGATCTGGTGGCAGTCAATGCTAGGGTCGTGGAAGACTGGCGTCGGTGGAGACAGGGACGAGGGGGGTGGGGTTCATTACATGGAAAAAAGTTAAAAATAGTTTTGAAATCTCAAATGACCAAAGTACCCCTCATTTAAATTGAGTTAACTAGAAAAAAAAAAATAACAGCCTTTAAACGGGACAAAAACCACCGGAAATAGACAACCGTAATAGACGAGAAAAGACTAAATAAAAATTTAGGGTCGAGAACCGTTACGGTAGACATATGTTAGGGACGAAAACTCGTCTTTGCTCTTATTTTTATTTAAAATACGTAGAAAATATTCAAGTAATAATCAAAATTAGAAAAACATACCAAACAACAAAAAGGTTATAGGGCCAAAATTCCTTATAAACCATGAAGGCTCCCCACATTGAATGCTCTGTTTTTCTGAAAAGTGGTCCATTTAATCGTCTCAAAAATCAACTTTATATTTTGTTCACTTGAAAATAAAATGAACATAACCACAAGTATGATGTCTGATTGATTTGAGTTTGCCTCCAAAGGTCAAGAGCACCCGGAGATCCCAGGTTTAAATCCAAGTAGGAATAAAAATCTTCTTGTGGCCACGGAGGTTTAAATACGGTGACTCCGAGCTATCTGCAAAACAAGTGGTCGCTCTGGAATTAGTCTGCTCGCATAACGGGTTGGATATCCAGGTTAATAAAAAACATTTTACATGAATTTTGTAAATTTGTTGGGGATGACAGACCACCACAAAAAGTACATCAATTAGGGATATTCATCTAAATAGTTAAATTGTACAAATTTATTGCATCGTAATATATGGTTGTGAACTTCCATCGTGTTGTTTTTGGTTTGTATTTTTATCAAAATGCATTTTGTGGTACATTTTGCTGGTTTGAGTTATTAAATTACGGTTCATACCGTATTGCGCACCGTATAATCTTCATATAATTTTTAAGCATATTTTATATAGGGTTGGGTTCACGTGAGACCAGCCTGTTTTCGTGAGACCCGTGAGACCACATTTTTACACGTAACCTTCACAGCAAAAACAATGTGAAGGTTTAAAAAAAGTCGAACCTTCACAGCAAAAACACTGTGAAGGTTTTAAAAAGTCACCTTCACAGCATTTTGCTGTGAAGTTTCAAGTGTAAAATGTTGGTCTCACGGGTCTCACGAAAACAGGCTGGTCTCACATGATCCCAAGTCTATATATATATAATCATTTATCTGGAAATAGTTAATACATCATTGATTATTTAATATTTTTTTTAGTTTTTCTCATAAGTTTTAAGTTACAAATTCTTTATTTGAGTTATTCTCTATTGTCTTGTGTCTTTTGTCAAACATCGTGGTCAAACTTATTTTGAATAAACCGCACCACAACGCATATGTGTAATCAATTCACATATGAACTATTTAACTGTTTCATATATGAACCTGTATGATTCACATATGAACTAATTAACTGATTCACATATGAATCCGTGTGATCCACGTATGAATTTAAAAATTGATTCACATGGTGAACTAATTAACTAATTCACATATGAAGTATGAGTTTATATATGCACTTGTTTGTCTCCTATTTATAACAGTTACGAAACTCTTCCTCTATTTTTCGGTTGACCAGTCAAAGCCGCAAATATTAATCTGTCAAAGCAACAATTCTTGATCAATTTTGACCATATGAAGTGTTAAGATCAGTTCTTTACTTCTCAAATACTTACCACTTTTCAAATGAACCTCTTCCTCCACACACACACACACACATATATATAGAGAGAGAAGAGCGATCAAATGAAAACCACTCCAATTTGTAAAAACTACTCTCATCCGTCCTTAATCTTATGAAATTTTTTCATGAAATTGTTAATCTTGTGAAATTGCTTCATATAATACTTTTTTTGATGAAGTTGTTTCATATGTGGTTATGAAATTATTTCATATACTACTTAATGAAATTTTAATGAAACTGTTTCATGTATTTCTCTAAAATTAAAATAATGAAGATGATAATATCCATGATTAACACCCTCCAGAATAAAAATGGTTAATCAACCTCTCATAATTACAAAAAAATGAACAAAACGAAAAATTATGATTGGTTGAATGAGGTTTTCACGGTTTTTATAAATTGAGTGGTTTTTATTTTAACTCACCCATATATATATATATATATATATATATATATATATATATATAGGGGTCTAATCAAATGAGAACTAATTAGTTTGTGGTAACTGTGAGAACCAATATTAACCACAAATCAATAGATAAATTAGGAAATTTATAATTTTGGCAATTTTGAATTAAAATTTTAATGCAAGAATATTTTTGGTATTTTAAAACTTTCTTCCCTCCTCTCTTCTCTCTCCGGCCACCGTCCTCAGGTGATACTACAATGGTATCACAATGCATCATATATGTGCTTGGGTATCACATTGATGTCGTTTGTGTGGTCGATCGAAGATGTAACACAGTGGTATCACTATGCATCTTATATATGATTAGGTATCACAGTGTATCTTTTGTTTAACAGAGTCAATATTTTTAGGTATCACAGTGGTATCATAGTGGTATCACCGGAGGATGGTGGCCGGAGGACGGTGGCCGGAGAGAGAAGAGAGGAGAGTTTTAAAATACCAAAAATATCCTTGCATTAAGATTTTAATTTAAAATTACCAAATTTATAAATTTCCTAATTTATCTATTGATTTGTGGTTAATATTGGTTCTCACAGTTACCACAAACAACTCAGTTCTCCCTTGAATAGGCTCCTATATATATATATATATGTTTTAGTGGAGGAGCAGGAGAATGTTTTTCGGAGCAAAACCAAGAAATATATATTCTATTAATACTTTACTTTTGACAGAAATCCAAAAAAAATATTCAGAGACGTGCATCAAATCAAAGACCAATCTAAATTTTTTTTTAAATGATGTCATTATTTGATTATAAAAAAACAAATATATGAATAATTTTACAAAATCTAATTTGTATGGTATTTAGTACATTATTTTTTATATGTGAGGTCATGTGTTTAAATCTTTTATTTCAAATTTTTTTAGAAACATAATAAATCTGAAATTAAAAACTAAAAACTAAAAAAAATGACACTAACAAGACTCGAACGTGGGTCTAAAAAAAATCTTGCAAACCAACTCTAACAAAAGAAACTCGTGTTCTCATTGTAGTTTCAAAATATATATAGTTGCACATAACAAATTGACACGATGACACTTTTCACGACCCTATAACTTTTTACACTACGACGGAGGAACAAAATAATGACTCATGTCATTGTATGTACTACACTGGTCGGGTCCGTCCATTCATCAAATACAGAGAAGTTAATACGCTTTTGAGTAAAGGACTCCTATTGAAGTATGACATGTATTCTACGTAATAAGGGTACATCATCATAAAACATGCAAAAAATTTATTGTTTCATCTTAAGAGAGTATTGAAACTTTTTTCTTTATAAAAAATAAAAATTATACATAAAAAACGTACGTATATTTAATTTCATCTTTAAAGTAATTGTACAATAAACGTTTTAAAGTCCATAATATTCAAAATTAAATAAAATACAGTACCCCAGTAACCATGATTGGCTTATACACACATAGTTACCAACAAAAAAAACAAATTGTGTGTGCGTTTTTTTTTTTTTTTTGAAATGATAGATCCCAAAATATCATCGTGTTATACTTTAAATCAAACATTACATTATTTCAATATGTTGAATTTGAGATGTTGCTGAGAACAAGTCCATGCAACTATTCAATGCAACGTGAGGTTGCTTAGGAGCAGATCGCATAGCCCCATATCGACAGATCTTGTGCATGCAACTTATTGTACAAATCAATTTAGCAATCTAAAAACAATGTATGCAACCTTGCCATGCAAGTAGTAGAGGGGTCATGTAGACGATCTCATAGCTTCGATACAAAAACAACAAGAAAGGCTTGCGAACTCGCCAACCTTACACTAGATGCTCGCTAACACCCATTTGGAACAGGGCGACCATTGTGCACAGCCTCTAGTTCACATACAAATTCAGTGGCGGAACACAATAAGGGC